ACTACACGCTACCATAGTGTATGAGGTAGACAAGCACCTCATGTCCTGGGACTCACCTTTTGCAGCCCCCCACCTTTTAATTTTTGCTTGCTTGCTTGTTTTGAATAAATGTTGATTTCTTACCAACCTTCTTTTCAAGTTGCTATCAATCTACTTCCCACTCATCTCTTCTGTTCTTTGGGTTTCTGATCTGTGCTGCTTGCTCCAACTCTTGGATTTCTCTGTATATCCAGTGATGGTTTATTTTCACATGTGTCTTTCCTTTCATGCTACCTTTGTTTTTACCCATTTCTTGCTTTGATGAGATGCCCACCAAATGTTTTGGAATCACTGACCTGTTGAATGAAAGAATTGGTGGAAGAATCAACAAATGAATGAATGTACCAGCTCCCTGGAGAGGTGGAGGGAGGGAGGGAGTTGGCACCACCATGCTGTTATTGGTACAGCCAATACATGGCTGTATGATTGTGTATGGCCAATAGTTGAGGTGCCTTCACAAGTGAGAGAGGAACCATAGGATAAACCCTTCCCAGGTGTGGTGTTTCAGAAAGGACGGGAGCCTGGGGGATCTGAGGAGTGCTGGGCAATCCACTGTTCTTCATTGATGGGGTCTCAGTTTCCTCATCTGTACAGTGAGGAAGCTGAATTGTGAAAGGACCTTGCAACTCTAGACTAGGTTGAATTCACTGCACCCAATGCTGTGATACCAGTCAGCTTAGGTGCCAGTGACCACTCCTTTGAATTCTTTTGTGTTTGGGGTTTTCTTGGAAAAGGAATGCCTCCAACTCTGCCATATGAACATGAGTCAGGAGAAGGGGACCCTTGTGGCATTTCTTCTGGATAAGGATTCCAGAATATAGTTGTGTGATTCTAAGATGTTCCTCTGGTCTTCAGTTATTTTGATATTAAAATAAAGAAATCTCAAATAATCACCTTGGGTTTCTTTGAGGACATGTTTTACATGTTCTACTTTGAGAATGTTGGTGCTCATTTAACCCATGAAAGGGACAGCGAATCAAGTTCCGCTTCTTTATTCTAAACAGTAGCTAACATTGGTGGAGTGTTCACAGTTTACAGGGAAGTTTTCAATTTGCAATTCTATTTACTCCTCAGGACACTCTGTGGGATGGGCATTTCTTATTATAATTCCCTTTTTATATGTGAGAGAAGTGAGTTGAACCTGAGACAGCCACCTTAGGATGCAGAACTTCTTTTGAGGAGGGAGAGGCATCTGGCACAGCCTGTGTCATTTTGTCTCAGAAATTAGGAAAAAGCTTTCTGCTTTGGAGGATAGGGTAGAAAAAAAAAATCAGTGGTTCCCCCAAACCTGGCCTCACTAGAATTTCTAGGGAGTGACTGAAATTTCGGTTTTGAAAAAAATTGAGAATTTAAAAACTTTTTTCTATTACAAATATTTCTCATAAGAAATTTTAATAATCATCTGTTCAGTGATATTATGTGTTTGTTTATATGTCTCCAGAGGACAAGAGAGAGTCCTGACAGTATATTTGTTTCTCGCAATTTTTAGTTGTGTGTGTGTGTGTGTGCAGTTGCCTAGAAATGTCTCAAAAGCTTTTTAGTAAAAATCAAAAGTCTAGAAAACCAAGTGTACACCCATATCTTTCATCATAGGACTTCCCTCCACACAGAAGTTTCCAATGGTTCTTCATTACTACCAGAAGGAGTATTAATTCCGCAGTCTAACTTGATTACAAATTGTCTCTTTGATCTCAACTGCTCTGGGTTTTCAATGTTAAGCTGTGAAATGAGGTGTTTTGACTAAGTTGTCTTTAAAATAATTTATTGGCTCTTAAATTTATAAGTGTTATAAATATGACTACCATGGCATTCAGAGAAATAAACAAAATCTTCCTGTGGGAGGCTCCCCCAGAGGACAGGAGTGAGGCAAGCTCAGGGAAACAGCACCATTTCTGAGTGTTCCTGGCCCAGCTGAATATGGTTGGGGTGGTCAACATGCAACACAGACACCTCTCATGAGGAAGCCTTCTACCAACTTGAACCCTTAAACCTCATTTCTCGAAATATCATAATTAAGAAGAATATAGTGAAAAGAAGGGTAGAAATCAACCCATTCGACACGAAACACCCAAATGATAATAAGATGTTAAACTGTCCCTAGTCTATCATATTTAAATCTCAGGATTTTTGTTTAATTTAATGTTAAAGGTCTATTTCAATTTTTGAGTGAATTAATTAGTTTCTCTTCCTTTTCCTCCTTTCCTTCCTTTCTTCCCAGTATTCTTTCTAATTCCATTGGTATCTCTAAAGGAGCACAAATGTCTCTTATTTAATCTATCCCATCGTATTCATGGAAAGGAGCAAATCAGAGCAATGATCATGTGTTGTGAAATGGATAATAAAGTGGTGATAGATGACTGTTATTGTGGTTGTTATGATATTGTCAAACCAAATTCACGTACAATGTGTCCATTCAGAAATCCAGCAACACACAAAAACTATTTTTTTCCCTTTTTTTTTTTAAGCTTTGTTTTAAAAAGACACCTTCCTGTCACTGGTACTTATAAGTGAATAAAATGAAATTGATGCCTTGCAGGGGGAAAAAAGGAAAATACTTCTTTACTTTGTATTAAGAATACGTGACATCTTTGCTGTCAGCGATAGTGAAGTGAAATACATACCAAATATGTCTTGACATAACTTGACAGAAATGTATGTCTTCTTTTCTCTCATTTATTTTTGTGATAAGAATATGTGATTTTGCTGCCAAGGAAGCTTGTAATGTTGTAGAGAAATGGAAATGAAATTGTGTTGGGGATGTCCAATTTCCCCTGACAGAGCGCCATGAGCCGTAGCACACAGGCAGCCTTGGGAAGTTAACAACAGGCCTCAGCCAGCAAGACCCAGGCGTTGACATTTGTCAAAACAACTTTCCTCCACACATCAAAATGCTCTTTTCTCTTTTGTGTTATTCAGATGTGTTCGGGTAAGTACGTTTTAGCAAACGGTGACTGTCAGAGAATCACTGCCATCCACGTGTGAACGATACCCCGAGAAAAAGCTTCTTTCCGACTGGAGTACAGGCCTATTCCGTTTGGGCTGCTATTAATCTGCAAGGGTCCCTTAAAACATATACCAAAGCTGATGTAACTAGATGTATTCTCTTTGCATTTTCTGGCTTTTTTCTCCCTTAGACAAAAGGAATTGCACCATTCATTTCTTCTTTCTTTCTTTCAAAGCTTCATATATGTGTGTGTGTATGTGTGTGTGTGTGTGTGTGTGTGTGTGTGTGTGTGTGTGTATATATATATATATATATATATATATGATGTTTGTTGGTGTGAGTTTGGTCTATGCTTGAGTTCATTGCTTTTTATAATCATTATCTTGCTCAGAAGAATTCAAATCATTTGGGTGCCACTGGCCCTTAAGAAAGCACTCTATTCTTAATTTCTTACTTCATTGCTATAGAGCAATGGATGTGAGATAAAGTGGCTATTAAGTGCAACTAAATGGCATTTTCTGTGAACTTCCAATTCTGTCTTTTTTTTGGGACTCTTTTTAAGGACACACACACAATTTCTAGAACCCTAGCAACAATTTCTACAATAAATGGTGTTTGAAGCAAGAATCCCTTACCTAGGGCAGACAGAAAGAGAATCAGCCCAGCAGTGTAATCATTGCTCTGCTGTTTGAAGGAATATTGAGCTCAGATGCCTCCAGAAAGCCCACCAGGCCCAGAGGCACTGGACAATGAAAGGGGAAAAATAATAGACGCCATGCTTTATTAAGTATATTTTTTCTCACTTAGGTGCCCATTCCCTGGTCAGACAATTAGTTGAGGCTCTTTCCAGAGAAAGTGTTACCCACCAAGAAAAACTCTTTTAACCTTTCAAAATAACAAATATCTTTAATGACTTTTATCCTCTTTCCATTGACATCACAGATACAATGTGGCCTGTCTTGAAGTCAAGCCCAAATTGAAATCACTGCTGGCAGGGACAGGAAAAATAGAACATTTGACAATAAGAGTGACAGATGAAGCATTGGGGACCTTGAAAGGAAGAATCACTCAAGCTATGACCTGGGACAGAAATACTGTACCTTAGTAAAATACCTGCCCCATCTGTAAGTTAATAGGCAGGTACATTTGCACATGATAATGGGCTAAATCCAACATTTGATAGAAGTTGGTATTATTTTCCATGTACATGTTTAAATGAAAAGCCAGACATGCTTTCTAGCAAGAACCTTTTGATTACAGAACAACTGTTCATCATCACACTCCCTGGGGAAAACATTCTTATTTGGTTGTATGTAGGGATAACATTGATTAGAAATATTTCTGAACATGAGACTTCCTACATTTGCCCAATCCTGCAACCAAAGATTATTCAGCACTTAACTTATAAAGGTGTGTATGTATGCATATACATATGTGTGTGTTTATGCATCTGTCAATATATGTTCCACAGATAAAGTCAACTTCTTATAATATTCTTCAACCAATTTGCAGGAGAGAGAAACATTACATTKTGTGACTTTAAAATCCATTAGCTGCATCCCAACTTCCATTTTATTATTATTTTTCATTATGCTTCATTTCTAAGTGATCACTTGAATTAGGTGGAAAAACTCAGCGGGATCTATCAATTTTCAGTGATTTCTGTCATTGATTCCCAATTGCCTTTGATCCCTTACATTCCCTAAAACATGATTGGTTTAAGCCTATTCCCTCTGTTGGTTTGGTGATGGGTACTAAGGTCATTTTGGCGTCCGTCACTGCAGTGAAAAATTTCCCCACATGATGGYCATTGTAGGTCCTTTGTAGAGGGTATATTTTACTTCTAGAGCTGAAAAAAAAAAAAGAACTTAATTTCAATAATCAGTTGTCTGACCTAAGTTTCCCAAGAMCTTCTCAGCCTCGACTACTTAGAGGCACTGCTTTGTATTCAAACAATATGAAACATTTTAGGTCATATGAATGATTAAGTTTTGCATCATCGAAAACTTACCATGTAAGCTTACATTTCCACTGATGTTTGTAACTCGTTGGTTGAGAAGCAAATGTGGGTTTCCTCTCTCTGSATAATAATGGTAGAAAGCAATATTGTTTATTTTGCCTCTGACATAAATTTAAGTCAAATATGGATGATTCAAGTTGACACAAGGAAAAGTCTAGTTGCTTCCCTGGATACATCCGCATCTTAACCCACAAAAGTTTGGGGGCTTTGCAAAGCCTGAAACAGATTTTAGCATGCCCCCTTTTCCCTKCTTTTATAAACCAATTTAATTTTAAAGAAAAATCTAATCCATATGTTTCTGATTAATCTTTACTAAACTCATCAAAATGGTGTTTTGTAAGAGTGACTTGGTGTCCAAGAAGTCTTCTGAGTTTCTCCGTAACAGACCTTCTTAATGCCATTTCTCTTTGAAGCAGCAACTTGTGTTTTGCCAACACTAAAGAAATCCAAACCCCCAAAGGGTTGAGATCAGTTTGAAACCTCAGGCCCGAGGGCTCTGTGGGCCTTCACGCTTGGCAAACAGGCTTCTCCCTCTGACTTATAATACCTTATTTTCTTCCCACAAGAACTGCTCCACTTATTGTTTTGCTAAAATATGTGTTTAAAACTATCTTCAGATTTTTTTGGTAAAGAAAACTTGTGGTCCACAAAACTAAAAGGAGGGCTTAATGGGTAATTTGCTCTTATGCAATTTCATTTGATTGTCCATTTGGATTTTTCTTTAATTAYTCTGTTTTCTGACTCTATACATCTCTGTAACTTGGGTTTACCCAAAGATTTACCAAAAAAGGTGACCATAAAGATCCTACAGGCTGGAAATAAGTGTTGAACGACCCTTAGCCTCCCTCCCTCAGCTTCTCCGGTAAAGACTTATTTCTTGAGATACTAAGGTAACACCTCACACGATATTTTATATTCTTATTTTTGTTGACAACCAAAAAATTCGAGGCAGAAGATTTCAAATAATRTGCTTTATGTCACAAGGTGAACCATAATTCCCAGTCCTAGATGTTTGCTGGGTTTTTTAGTGTAGTTCATTTGTATTCATGTGTTTAAAGAAAAACCTAAATAATTTCACTTTTTTTTTTAATGCAACAGTGAGAAAGAGGAGGAGAAAGAGGGAGAAAGAGAAAACAAAACAGTATGTACAGCAAGTTAAGAATCCAGACCACTCAGGTCCTTTGTTCTTACTGTCTCCTGGCCATGAAGTGGGAGTGCCCTCTAGTGAAACTTTAAAATCATTGGAAGATACTGGGTGTAGCATGGTTGAGGTCTCCTCTTAAACTTTTGTTTCAGAAATCTGTGGACATTAACAATTTGAGCATGTTTTGAATGAGACTTAAAGAAAAAAAAAAAGATGCAAAGTACCGTCATGTGAAATTATTTCTTTCGGAAGCAAACAGAAATGAATATATTGTTGTCAATACCCAAAGGTATATCTTTATCTCTCTATTTGTCATCTATCTATCTACCTATCTATCAAGCCATCCCAAGGATACATAAGTGGTATGTAACTCACACTAGGGCTATGGTTATCTAAATGAAAACTTATATAAAAACATAATTACCTACCTCTCAAGAAGATGGATAGTAAACAAACCACTTTGAAATGTGAAAGGGAAAAAGTAGTATACACAAGTAAATAAGAACTGAATTACACACCTTTTTTTTTTTCATCTATCTTATTCCAGATCTCTTTGTAGAAAGTAGCACATGTTCATTGTGATAAAATCTGCTGTGTTCTGGAAAAGTACACTACCAGGAGCCAGAATTCTTGGCCTGGACTCACCAGCTGTGCAAGMTTGGGCACAGTAGTCAACCTCTCTGAGCCCTAGGGTCGTGGTCAGCAAAATGGGATTTAAGAATCCCAGCCCGGTTACCTCGTAGGGTAGAGTTAGCGGACATAAATCAAGGGAAAAGGCTTTGAAATATTACCTGCATCGWGTACTATACTGTGCAGGTATTATTTTTCAGACTCTTCTATCTTCTGACTGGGGAGATTTCAAGCTAAGTCCCTTTTCAGGAAGAAGAGAGAAAGAAAGAAAAACCTACTAAAGTCCTCTGGAGTTAGGAATGGATGATGAAACTTCTTTTTTTTTTTTTTTCTTTTTTTTCTTTTTTTCCATTTGCAAAGGGTCACAGAGAAAGAAACAGGTGGTGCCCGAGGAAAGACGCAGGGTTAGACTTGACCCCAGCGGAGAGGCTCTCCTGTCTCCTGGGCGTGGAGAGGGCCCTGGGCCAGCAAGGCGGCCGGCCGGCTGGGCAGCAGCTGGCGGAGGAGTCAGCGTGTCTCCCTGCGTTTACAGCAGCCAGGGTTTCCGCGAGGCTAATCTCCACCTTACACTCAGAGAGAAGCCAAGGGACGGCTCGGTGCGCAGGGCCTCTGTGCTTCTCGTCCCACCTCTTGATTACCATCCACACCAAACGGTTCCCACTTTCTGTTGTCTTTTTAAAAATGGAAAACATTTAGCTCTGTTTATGTCAGCAGCGATAAACTCGTCATTGGAAAGAGTTTTCCCTTTTAGCAGCAGTTAGTTTAATTTTAGATTCGCACTGTTAAAATTCTTTACTTTCCTCCATAGAAAGCCTGTTTTTGGTGGAGCACKGTTTCTCACTAGTTAAGTTTGCGTTGAAGAGGGCTTTAGGCGTTTATTTTCAAAATCAACTTGCATAGGCACTTTAAACTTATATAGTTCCATTCCAGATCCTTCAGAAAAGAAAAAAAAATTWAAAAAAAATTAAATTAAAAACAACACAGGTACCTTCTATGTCCTTATTGCCTAAATTTTCACATTTATCTCCTGGGTGTATGTCTTCCTTCTTTTGTCCAGAGTGAGAAACTGTTGTTACTTTCTTTACTCAGAGGTACTTCACATTGTCAGACGTGCATAATCAATCTTGTACTTCAACCTTTGTGAGGAAACACAACAGATGGATAATGGGAACATGGTTGCCATTTGGGCTCTGGTCGATTCATGAACTCCACAACCACCACTCTGGTGGTGCTAACAGTGGAAAACCATAAAGTTAATCTCTGAGGCTCTCTGACGGGTTCCATGCCTGCTGTTTATGTCTTCCCTCCCCACTTGATCTGAACAGTTGGCATGGGACATGRGGGAGGGTGGAGGACACTCAACGGGTCTTCCACTGTGCAGGGGTTTATCTGGAATACATTATCAGTTCCAGCGGAATGACTGAGGCATCCATGTCATCAAACTGCTCTTGGCTACACCCAGAGTTCACTTTGTCTACGCTAGGTACTCGTGTATCCGTGGAACACCACCACCGCTCATTGAAACTTTGGGTTCCTTCTGTATTAGAACCCTCACTGACCTTTACTGAACACCACAAAGAAACCAAATGCTAACCTCTGTTTGTCTCAAATTTTCCCCTATTAATGCTTGGTCCAAGTCTACATTTCTAGTCAGTCTTTCATTTAAAAACACAATCTCATTCAAAACCTGCCTGGTAACTTTATCACTGGGGTAACTGTTACCTATGATGCAGGGCTGACCTGGGTCCTTGTAGCACTTGACATCATCTTTTGGACGGGTTACAGAGCCTTTTGAGGGAGTTGTTAGAARCAGGCTCACCCTGCAATGCAGAACCGGTCACAGAAGAAAATTAGTGCATTTATCTGTCAGCATTAGACTAGATTTTCAATCCAGTTCACTAGTCACAGGGTCTGGTTTTCTCTTCCTCTGGGAGATGAAACCGATATGCTGGTAGGTAGTAAAGGTGTCAGTTATAAATTGGACCGTTGGAGCACACACACACGAAAAATAGACGGGGGAGACTTGAAGGCCATAAATTTAGTTCAAGGCAAAGAATTTCCCTAAAAATAGTCCGGCTTGTTAAAACACTATAGGAAGAATGTATGTCAGGTAACCGTTGGTGATATCAGAACCAGTTCACATTTCTTTTATGGGAACCAGTGTTCGCAATTCTCTCTCCAATGTGCTGTTCATTTTAACTGCTTCAGGGCAAAAAGGATCTTGCTGACTCTGGTGCTGGGTATGTAAATACCGTGACAGGCTCCGTCTTCACTGTTCCACACAGGAGCGAGGTGGCAGCAGATCTGAGTTGCAAACGGAAGGGGCAAGTTTGGCAGCCACCCTCAAGCTTCTGACAGTTTTCCATTCGTTGTTTACCTACCATTTAACTCGAGGGAACTTCAATACTAACTTAAAAAGGAGCATGTGGCCTTTTCTCAACTCAGTGAGTGACCCTGTCCTAAATTGGTTGTTTCCTGTTCCTCATCCTATAAAATGACCCAGGTGGAAACCCTGAAGACCCACCTACTGTTAATGACCCATTACCTAGACACAGCACAAACTTGGGGAGAAGTCAAAATGTTCAGCGTCGGGTGACTCCCAGGAATCCTACCAACAGGGCCCATGTGGCACTCAGTTCAATAAATATTGAATGTCTRTTGGCCCTAAGGCAATGTAGTGAACTCTGTGGGTTTATAGATTCAATCCCTTGATTGAGAGAGTTAGTAATATAGATGGAGAGATGATATTCAACCAACGCACCATAGAATAAACCAGAGTCAAGCAAGAATTCAATGGGAGCAAGCATCAATTGTATACATAGGAAGGAATCAATAAAACACCAYGACAATACTTTAATTCATTTATTATTTAAGCCTCTGTATATATCACCTACTATATATCGGGTACATAGGAGATTTTTTAAAAATCCTGCCTTCATGGAGCTATCTACTCTCTAGCATGACAGAAATAAATAACTATAATCCATCCTTAATTCTGACCTTTTGTTTTCTTATTATATCATGCCTTCTCGAAGAATGGCCTCATCTTTTTCAACTGTGTCCCGACAGGAGCACCTGGCACAGAGCAGAGGCTCAATACATGGCTTTTAAAGGAAGGAAGGAATAYTGAAGTATGATGTGTGTCATAGTTTTCCAAAGGCTTTGTTTTTCCAGAATGATGGGACAGAATGTTGGAAATGGAGAGGTGGAAAATGACTTAGGTTTTTCATTGGGTGCGTGGTGGATAGAGATGCTATAAGCAGAGACAGAGAACAGAGGAGAACAA